CTCCCTCATTTGAAAGAATAAACACTGTGTATAAACGGTTCTTTGTTTATGTTTTCTTTAATATAACATAAGCTTTCCCAGAAATTCTCGAAGGGTATGCACTTTCTTATCGATGTCATCACCGAGCGGCGAAAAATCAAAACATACATATTCCAACATGATACCACATTTAGGCCTTTGGCAGAATGCTTTGAATGAAACAACGTTTTCATGCTGGAAGCTATGAAGCATTCTAGCCTCTTTGATGAATTCCTGCTGGTCGTCTACACTGTCCTTCAGTAACTTCTTCACAACCACTATGTCTGACACGTAGCCGTGAACGAGATGTTTAGCTTTGACGACAACTCCAAACGAACCGCGTCCGACGATTCCAATTTCCTTAAAATCTTCATTCCGAAATTGCGGTAAATCAGTCACTTTATTTACAATTGCCTTCTAGGTAAAATAAGGCAACTTAAAAGCCATCTTCAAATCGGAAATTATGAATTATTTACCTGAAATCTTTGACCGTCATGCATGATCGAATGTAAAATGAAAAAGTGGCGGGAAAACACGTCACCAGAACTTTTTTTGGGGGGGAAACACACCTCGCGAATGGCTTCTAATGACATGACAMGTTGTGGATATAAACTTGGCTTATACGATAACGAAAAGAAAAATCTATGCGAATGTTGAGTATAATTTTCATGATCGTTTCACGTATCTAACACTGCAAGCTGTTTTTTTCTTTTCTCGGCAGATAATTTTCATGATCAGTGCACTTAATGCCACTTATCGATGAACAGTAAACAAGTCGGCTTGCGGCATTCACGCGGTGTAAATATGTTTTATTTTTCGGGTCTGAGTTTTCGAGGCACCCAGAGGGTCTGAGTTTTTCGGGTCTGAGTTTTCGAGACACCCAGAGGGTCTGAGTTTTTCGGGTCTGAGCTCTGAGTTTTCGAGACACCCTGTTGTTTTGCCTCTGCTTTCCTTTATTCAAGAACTGAATGCATAATGAAGTATGGGGTTAAACGTTATACGGAAATCTTGCCAAATATTGCGCTTTTCATGTTCTTTTTTTTTTGTGAATTCAATAAATTTTCTCTATCAAGTAGGGAGTGCTGTAGCTCAACAGATAATAAATATACAACTTTTTTGATTTCTTGCTCAAACCTAGAATCACAAACATTAGTTTTACGGCGGAAATTTCGAAATAATTGCTCCCTTAAAGCTCAAAATATTGTCAATCCGCGAAATCGAACTTCCGCTGAATTTTCATTGTTACTAGCTGTAATAATTAGAAAACGATTTAACCACAAAGTCGACAAAGAGCTCTTTCCTGAAAGCATTTTGTTTTACACGTCCGTTCTCCTTCCCAGAGTCCTCTCTGCTCTTAGTTATGTGGGCAAGAAGTATTTAGTTTTACATTTTTGTCTGCAGCGAAAAGTAGACTTTTTGACCTGATGATCAAATGGGTAATGGTAATATGAAAGATGCGAAGAAACGGGGCCTTGGAAAATTTTTGCAAAATATAAATGAAAACCACCAAAGGGGAAGGGGCAGGAAAAGACTATGGCGAAACCTTTGACGGTGGACAAACGTTTCAAGTAGACGACGTTGAAGACATTTGCGTTAGACAAAAAACAGAGAATTAGCTCAATTTACGCCGAAATTCAAATGGGACGGCGCGATACCATCCAAAGGAAAGGAGTTTGAAGCGTCAATTCAACTGAGAAGCAGGTTAAAAAGGTTTGTCCTCCAATGGAAACAAGCCATAATCTCTCTCTCAGAAAAAAAAAAGCGACAAGAAGACCACTGGTTTGAAGAGTGGTACAATGCCCCATTTGACATGGAAAAAAGAAGCTTTAGATTTAAAAATTCGTTGCTACTATCCTTTCCTTATGATAAAGATTGCCAGCTTTCTTAACAATTTTGGTTGGTTTCATTTAATGCAATAGAGTATAGACTATTTAACTGAGTATGAAAAACGTAAAACTGCGGTTGCACAGTGCATTATCGACTGTTATAGCGACAAAAATGTTCCCCTCATTTCGATTACCTGATCATGGTGCTTTGCGATAAATCTCAGCCTTGTGTCAAATTTCAGAGTTTGCGAGGTTATATGCTTCTGGCGCATCCTTGTTATGCCGCAGTTTATGTAAGATCAAGTGTTTGCGAAGAAAAAGATCTAAAAGGTTATCGAAATACTGATTCCCTTCAATAAGGATAGAATATCTGTGAACGCAACTTACCATTTACCGTCGTGCAAGCCAGAGTAAATCCCTCCGGTACTTTTGATCATTTGAATGTTAAAATGCGCTATATCAAGTAATTAATACAATAGGTTTAAGACCAAACAGCGTGGTATTCAAGTGTCCACCATGTCTTTTGAATGGAATCAGCGTTTAAGAAACCGGGAGGCATACCTGGAGAGTATGTTACACTACAATTGGTTTATAAACAAAGTGACTCATAATTTAAACGGAGTAGCAGCTTACCCACATGGATTGGATTACAGTTAATGATAATTTCCTATTCCTAGCTTCCTTATTCAGGAAAATTTACTAGACCTCTGTCTGACTATCAAAATGAGCGTATGGTTTAATGGGTTGGTGACGTGTTGCATTCATGCAATATGTTCTAGTGGTGATGACGTAATCCTCAAGGTTCTGCCTAAAATCTTCAAATAAAGTTTGATTTCTGTAAGCTAAAGGAGCTTCCTCTCGAATTGTGTCAATGTAGTCTCTCCAGTAAGTGCTTATGTCCGCTAAAGACTTTGGGTATGAGCGATGGGTTGGATTACCCGCAATGACAGGCACAAACATCAATGCCTGGCCTCGAAATTTTAGTTCCACAGCAGACCAGATGTATCTATGCAATGACCACCAACTTATTTTTTCGTATTGCACTCGGTAAGGGAAAAGATGCTCAATAGCTTTGTAATGAAATGCATTAAAAACGCCATCGAACCATACTGTTGGTATCACAAGGGGACTATCCGTCCTGTGACATATTTTCTGCCGTCTATCATAGGTCCAGATGGCCCCATGATGCACTCCATAATCCAAAACACCAACTACCGGCTCGTAGTCTAGAAGCCATTGTTCCACGACTCTATACGGTGGAAACCTCGTCATTACTGGCAGAGTAAATGAATTGAAACCGAGTACGACATCTTCATCCATAAAAATGTAATAATAGTATTTTGGGGATCTCTTTATCGCAGCAAAATACAGCGCATTTCGTCCCGTTCCCCATCCAGTATCGGGATCGAACAGATAAGTGATGTGAGGTGACTTTCGCTCTTGACATTTGGTTCGAAAGCTTAGCACTATGACGTCACAATTACATGTCTCGGGGTCGCCAATCTCGGAAGAAGTGGCCAAGTTTGGAGGGAGGCATTGTTCTGTTTGAGTGAGATAAATGAAAACCTTTGGAGATGAATTATTTGTCGGTTTTTCTGTGGCTGTAGGTTGAGATGGAACAACCTTTGGACTGATGATCGTACCTACGATAGACAAGATGTTGTAGTTTATTTTGAAGTTGTAGCAATAAAGTCTGCCGGACCTAACATTTACATTTACATTTACATAACCGGCACTACCTTATTAACTTACTGCAAAGGAAGTGGACTCAGTATAGAACATTAGATGTAATCAATTATAACGTATATATCATTTAGTTGCAACAGTTGAATATCAGTTTGGGAGCAGGGATAGCGCAGTGGTGAGAGCGCTCGTCTTCCACCGCTGAAGCCTGTGTTCGATTCCCGAACCAGGGGCCCGTTTCTCGAAAGTCCCGGCAACTTAACGGGCTCGTAAGGCTGTTCTGTTTTCATCCAAGATGGGAGTTTCAAAATTTTTTAAAATGATACAATAAAACTATCAGTTAAAGACACAAAAAGGAATGGTTTAGGTGCCAGAACCTGCTTTCTTATCCTTTAAATTTTGATTTTAAAACATGGCTTCGAGCCCGTTAAGTTACCGGGACTTTCGAAAAACGGTTCTCTGGTTTCACATGTGAATTGTGTTCGTTGTTGATTCTCGCCCCTGCTTCGTAAGAATTTTGAAGGAAAATAAGAAAGAAAAACAGTCCTCTCCAAACGATTGGTTCCTTTTCTAAAAACCAACCAAACGAAAGGACAAAAAAACGAACAGAGAAATCGATTTCCAAAAACGTGGAACTGCGATCCTAAGATATTAAGACTTGACTGAGGGACAATCTATGACCAAAAACCATATTCTCGGAGTGAAATCATGAGAAATGGTGTCGGGGGAATTGCATTGCAGCCCTTAAGAATGAGACGGTGAAATTCAGTAAGCGCCGAATTAGCTTAGATTTTGGAAAAGGTAACTCAAAGGTTACTAAATTGAAATTAAGACTGAGGTGAGCAAGTTTTTAATCATTGTTGCCTGACATATGCTTTAAGATTTATTAACTGCGTTTGGTTAGCTCATGTTGTAAGGCAACGGAATGCTGTCCAGGAGGTCGAGGGCTCAAGCAAACACTCAGGGTCTTAAAAGAACTGAGGAAAATGTGCTGGCCTTGTTGACATCGGCAAATGGTAAGACATTCTAGTGTTCTCTGATAAGGACAAAAAACTGTAGGCCCCATCTCCTGCATCTTTTCTGTACTGGTTAACAGGGAACGTTAAAGAACCAGTGCACTTATCGCACAGAGTAGGGAACGTAGCTCCCGGTGTTGTGGTCTCAGCGTTGTCACTGTCTATACAGGTCCCCATTAAAACCAGTTTTGAACTAAACTGGGTCAGCCTGTCTTAATATCGAAATTACGTACAATAAATTCATACATTTAGGACATTTCCCTTGCTTGTGTTTTTAATTTAGTCTGTTCAGTCTTCAGTGCCCTTCGCTGCATCTCTACGGCTAACGCAAAACTGTGCGCGGCTTTAAGTTAAAATCAGCAAATTTGATCAAAGATAACGTGAAAATCAGTATTTATTTTAGATATTTGTCATATATACCGGTACATACTTGTCTTTGTGGCGGCCGTTTCAACTGTAACTCTCTGCTTTTCAGGAGAAACCTTGCGTTTGACCACTTCAGGCGCTGTGTAAACAAAGGTATTGACAGCCCGTAAATATCTCAAGATTATCTTTGTGATGGCTGTTCTCTCTGCGGCTTTTTCCAACTCGTTTCTTACTTGAGATGTTTGTCCTTAGTTATGTTATGATTTCATTTAAAAAAGTTCTAACTTGTATATCGTGACCAGTAACATCACTCGTGGCGGTATTCAGTTATTCCATATTGCAACCATGTATGGTTACATTACATTATGCAATTATCCAGTAGCTCAAAATATTCGCTTTATCACTTCAAATCCGAGTTTACATCGATGGTTTTAGTAACTGTTTCTTCCTCATCAAAACCGTCAAATAAAAGTTACTTTGCGATTATTTTTTTACTTCTAATGCTCGTGTAAGGCTCGTAAATAGTTTTCAATTAGGATTTTACCGACGATGAGCTCAATATACTATTATTCAGATATCGGTTCACTCTGATGAACCATCACGCTGCAGAATTATCGACTTGGTTGAGGAAACCGGACCAAAATTTGACAAAAACCTACGTTGTTGTTAAAAATAGCAAAGTATACCTTCTATTTTCTATAAAAATTAAGGAAATGTGAACGTTATAGCCTAGTTCGAATATATAGATATAAAGGTTTTTGAAAGCTACGGAAGCCTAATCATTTCATTTTCTCATGTCCAACGAAAATCCATCGGCCCGTCAAGTTGTCGAGCTTTCGCAAGCTCAGGACAGCAACTTTAAAAATTACAAATCGGTTTAAATTCGTTTTTAGAATTGTTATTGTTTAAAACCACGAAATCATAGGTTATGTGATGTGCATCAAAAGCTGTAAATCGCTTCCAACTTGTTGACTTACCTATTCTGCCATAAACGTTTTTGGTCTGTGTTTTTTCTAGTCTGAACTCGGCTTTGTACGAAGCATACAAGAAAAAGGCGGTCAAAGAAACGATTACAATCAAACTTACAACTCTACTTCTAGATGTAAAAATCATTTTTGGTTCTTAAATTCAGTTCGTTGAGCACGTTTAAGCATGGGAAAAACAAGTGATGTTGCACCTTGTAGCAGGAGATATTAGTTCACCACGATCTTTTTTAGAAAGGCGCAATATAATCATATAGTCTTGTCTGGAAGAGATAAACATTCAATTGATCCAGTGTCTGTTTCGTCAAATAAGAGAGGGTAGTTTTGTTGAATAAGTGAAAAACTTGCAATAGTCTGATGATGGTTTTTGTTTGGCAAAATAAACTTTCTGCCATTGCGAACTAAAGGGGCTTGGAAGTAGTGGTCAGTCGCTGTGGCGACAATCAAATTTTTTCAGTGAAGTTAAAATTTCCCTTATAAATGTTATATGAATATGTTTACCAGTAAAGTATGTCCGGTGATTATTTTTTACTTGAGTAGAATTACATGCTCCTGGAAAGTACATTTCTGGTTATAACATGGGTTTCTAAGGAGACTGTTTGAATGCATTATTAGGAACCATTTTCGAAAATGTACATTATTTTTCGGCTGACTGTGCTAAGATTTCCCTTAAACCAGAACATTCTTGTATATTTTGGTGTTCTTCTGCCCTTATAAGAAACATCTGATTAGAAAGATTGCTTGGAGGAAGTTAGGCATTTCTACAATGCCGCGAGGAAAATAGGGAGTCTGAAGCCCATTGACCTAACGGCAAAAGTGCAGGCGTCTGATAAAAAGATATATTGTAATGTAAATCCTAGTTCCTGAAAACAAAATAAAGTTCTTTACATTAACGAAAGGTTTATTCAGCCGGTGAGATCGAAAAAAAATTTCCTAGGCTTATGTTACAAATTGTGAAATGAAGAGATAAGACAAGATAAGAACTTTATTATTATCATAATAAGGGGAATATTATTATCATAATAAGGGACATAAGGGGTGGTTGGGGACGCTAAATGACTAGCTACTTACTGTATGAAATTTACAATAAAATAAAAGATGTAAGAAAGCGATCTTACCAGTAAGGAACCCTACTTATGTAGTAGTGGAAATAAGGTCTTCTAAGATGAGCGAACATTCAGTCTAGTGCTGGGCGATGGAGAAAACTGATACGCAAATATTTACACTTTTAAGCTACGGATGTGCATTTAAGGCAGTGTGCTGCACATTCTTCATTCATAAGTCTCGACAGATCAAACTCTCTCACCTTGGTTTTAAATTGTTAAAAACAGCTTATACGAGCTCGGCATTTGTAACCATTTCGGTCTTCGCACCCACCATTTATGGGCCTTTAACGATTACGACGATTTTATCCTCTGAAAAATATTTTGCAAAATTAACGAGAACCAAGGTTGTTTCAGTGTTTTTGTTTTGTTTTGTTTTTGTTTTTCTTTGTACCATGATAGATCTTTGGGTGCAGTTTGAAAGTAACCTCTCTTTAAAGAGACTGCTTCCTTTGATGTCCAGTGTGACTGGTGGAGGCAACTTCCGGCTGCAATTGTTTCTGGCTGTTTGAGGCATACGGCTTCACGAGTGTTACTGCAACTCTATCTCTAGACTGAGACTGACCAAATGTATAGGCCGATAATTGGGAACTTACGGCCGCCTGCGTATTTTGTTCAGGTTTGAGAAGAATTATATAAATCTTTGGACCGAACATGCAAATTAACAGTCCATAGGAACTGACCAGTATCGTCGCGCATGTAAAGTTTGTTGCATGGGAACCCCTAAGGCCGATGTCAACCGGAAAGTATGCTACGGATGAAAGGAGTAAGATTTACATTGAGAACGCAATATACCTGGCTTCGTTAAAGTTCTCAGGAAGTGTTCTGGCTTTGAAGGCGTAGTATGTACAAGCCACTGCAAGAAGAGATGTGTACACAGATATGGCGATTTGAAAACTCATCCCAACGGACGACTGGTGCATAGTACAATAAAGAAGAATTGACCCTTCATTTTTCTGGATGATCCGTTGTTGATGTGGCGAGTCTAAGATAATCCATAACAGGAATAATACAGCTGGTGGAAAGATTAGAACTAGGACGACAAATGTTTGCCTTTTTGTCGCAAGAATAAAGTTTTTGAACCTCTTCGCTAAAACATTTATTTGGAATACACTGAGTATCTTCATGGTTTTAATAATCAGTATGGAGATAATTGTTGCCAGAACCATTAGCTTCCAGAAATGAGCCAAACTGCACATAAAGTTCGTAAGCTTGCCAAGGGATAAAATGGAGGAAGAAAAGGACAATGCGATCGTCAAAAGAAGGATAGAACTTAACTCGCGATTGGCTCCTCTGACCAGGGGAGTGTCCCGAAGTTTAAAGAGGATGAAACAGCAAATGGCAAGAAGAAGGAATCCAACTGTGGAAAACAGTACGATAAGGACGGAAGCGGGGCTTGACCACATGACTTCAACTTCAGGAAGATCCAAGCATTTTGATCTCTGTTCATTGGGCTTTTGCTCTCGGGGACACACGGTGCAGTTCATATCATTCACTCGAGTACTAACGGTTCCATTCGGGCATTTCTTGCAAGTCCAACAGCAAGAGGTCGTTGGTAACTGATATTCACCAGCAAGGCAATCTCTGTGGCAGAACGACTTTGGAATAACTGTGTGACCTGCCGCAGTATTCCACTTTATGCCAGAAACGTTCAAGTGAATTTCCTTTTGACTTTCATCCCACGATCCGATGGCTAATTTTATTAAATCGGAATTTTCATTTACCTGATAATGCACAATGTCATAAGATGATAGTTTAGGGTCTCCAAGCTGATCAAATTCGATTTCCCCGGTTACTCCTTTAAAGGCCACTTGTCGAAGATGTTTTTCGAGTTTCTTCGGATTGTCTATAGGATGGATTTTACTCATGTTGTGAATAGCATGGACAACAGCATAAACAGCGTCCACCAAATAAGGAATATAGGGATTATACACCGAATGAAGTACCGTCTCGTTGGAAGATGAAGTACCTGTTTGGTTCCAAAATTCTTTCCACCAAGGAGCAGAGGCGTTCTTCTCTTTCAAGGATTTGATCGACTCTTTGATCAAGAAATCCGTGAAATTTGGAACATGAAATTGACGAAGCTCAATACTCAATGAGCCATGGACGACTTCTTTTAAGTCCTTTCCAGGCGTGAAACTTTCGCTGAAAATCCAAGTGCGGTCGAACATTCTATGGTTTGCTGCTTCTTCAAGAAATTGTTGTCCATAGCCTCCTATTAGCCAAAGCACCACAACATTAATATTTGAGTGGCGTCGAAGCTTCATCACAATTCTTTTCAGCTTTTTCGTGTAGTCTTGCCTAGGTATGTAATCCGCGAAAGAAAGGCAAAATGTTTGCTTTTTGGCTGCCTCAGCTTCCAAGCTCTTAATCCCATTTCGACCGTAGGAGTCGTCCATTGCCACGGCAGCTACATAGCTCCAATTGAAATAATCTATTATATCAGCCATTAGGCTTGCTTGTTTTCTATCTGGAGGGGCAGTGCGAAAAAAATAGCTGTACTGTGGGGAGCTCAACTCATCGCTTGTCGCCGAGTGACTGATGAGTGTAATTTCAGCCACTTGCAAAAGGGTTCCTACAAAGGTCGCAGTCCATGAATCTGTTGGACCAATCACAGCTGTCACTGGTGTAGGCCTGCTCTGTGTTGTTTGGTCCTCACTTGAAGAGTCAAGGGTGACGTTTTGGAATTGTAGTGCAATTTCGTTTTTTCGGACAAAATCATACGTGTGCTTCATTGCCTTTACAGTGCTTCTGCAGTAGTCCCGTACGTCAAATCCAAGAGTTTTATTCTGAAGCAGTTGTGGGTTTCTGTTGATCTCGTCAATGGCGAACTTCAAAGCTTCCACATCGCCAAGTGCCATCGGCGCAAAAACACCGCATTCGCCAACATCGTTGGTGTTGTGAAGTGCAATCAGAGCTCCGAGAGTGATGTCACCAGGCTGATGATAACGGTCCTCATGATCAGTTGTCGATCCAGGGGACATCCGGAAACCATAGGACATCCGGAAACCATAGGACATCATCACCAAGAGAAACAGAAATTTTTTTACGATCATTTTACGGAATTTTTTTCTTCCCCTGTGAAAAGGAACAAAAGACGTAAATGATCCAGTTGGTTTCTTAAAGAAATTATCACACAAAAAGACATGTAAATTATCACACAAAAAGACATGTAAATTATCACACAAAAAGACATGTAAAGTCAGATAGGTAACCTGAACGAGTCACACCTTAGAATACTGTGACTTGATTTTCATCAGCAGAATGTATTAATATCAACACAGAAAGCAGAGGAGTAGCATTTGCTTTCATATTGAAGAAAGCTGTAGTTAATTCTGTGATTTTACCACTACTCGTCATACCTGGAAATATTTTTTTAAATAGGAAATCGAGCGAAAGTAGTCTCTCTTCGATCTTGTAGTGACTAGCCGGCGCGTGCAGCCCCACTGATCCTTCGTTTAGTGGGTTTGCGTAATATCTAACAAAAACGTGTAGAAAGACCCCCGCAACTAGTTTGAAAATATATTATCGATTGGCTACCTTATAATGCGGCCTCTCATTGGGTCGTCCCAGTCTCTATCTACGGGGTCGATGTTTTGATTTCACACGTGAGTTTGACAGGTCGAATAAATTTTATATTTTGCCCGGATATTTTGAGTTTTTATCGCTATGTAAAGTACAGATGGAAACTCAAACAGCATGCAGTCTTTGCGTGAACTTGATCGAAAAGGACTATGAAAGATATCGAGTGGATGGAAGAAGAAAGTTCGAAATTTATGCTGCAATACAGAAGCTCCCGTTTGAGGTGCCGAACACATCTCGATTTATCTCAGGTATTCGATATTCAGCAATTGCGATTTGTTTGTATGTCCCCCGGACCAACATTTTCCCTAGCGACTCGAGAGCTTCTGGTAATTCCTTCTTATGATCCTGCGAAGGATAGCTTATTGCGACTATACTTCAGAGCAGTCGTCTCAATATAACAATATAACACCACTTTATTTCACTCCAAAATAGCGAAAAAATTTACAGAAATGTGATAAGAAAAAGAAACACAAAGAGGGTAAGTGACCATGGCCCCAGTCCCATAACACCCCGCGCGCCCCTGAACACTCCGCCATTTTATTTCGCTCCTAAAAGCATGGCTGCGTCAGGGAATTCGAGGGAACATCCTCCAAAAATAGAAGTCATCCACGATTGAACACCTCCAGACCTAGATCCTAAAGGTATAACAGATCCTTAAGTCTTAGTTGAGTCTATTTTTGCCATTTCGGAAGGATTAAATTTGCTCCGGTCGGCATTTACCTCCAATTCGATTGGAGCGAATGATTCAGTTGGAGCGCTCAAGGCTCCAGTAACTGACCAGCCTCACATAACGCAGGCCGGGGCGCTCAAGGCCCAAGAAACGGCAAGGACAAAGGGTAATACAGTGTCTGCTGATGCTGAAGAGGGTGACAATCCGCCCTTCGCTAAACAGCCCCGTTTGAGTGAACACGTAGAGCATGAGGAAGATCTTGAAGAGGACATTTACTCTTCGGCCTCTCGCTGGCAAACCAGCGAAGACCTGTCAAAATTTATTGAGACATTCCGTAAACCGTTACAACCATTTGAACGGAAAGCAATTTGTCGCAAGTTCCCAGGGCCGGATGTTGATGCGGCATATACCCCTCTGCAGGATAAATACCTGTCCAGCATAATACCTGGCATTAAGCAGGCAGATAAAGACGGCAAGTTTCTTCATGATCGCATCTTGGACACCCTGGGTCCAATGGCATTTCTTTACGAGCATTTGAATAAGATTTTGTCTGCCTCCAAAGAGCAAGGAACTGTGCTCCTCTCGTCAGACCAGCTTCAAGGCCTGTTTAATGCTTCTGCGCATGGATTACGCTTGCTTGGAAATACCTCGGCTCTCCTTGCTAAAGAACGCCGCTCTACAGAAAATCAATGCCAAGGGGTCTTTGACTTCCCTGGCCACTGAAGAGATCACGGATGCCAAAAAAAGTCTATTTGGGAGTGGCTTTGAGGAACGTCTTAAAGCAAGATCTGAAACAGCAAAAACGCTTCTACAAGCAGCAAACGTGAGCCGCAGTCCACAGTTTTTTCGTGGTCGCACCACCCCTTCCAGATTCCGAGGGGGACGAGGGGCTGGTGTGTACGGACCCCCAATACAACCGCCCTTCAGAGACCTCTCCCGTTACAGGGGAGGAAGACGAGTAAAGAACAGGGGTTATCCCAGTCCACAACTCCCACGAACAAACCTCACCCAGTAGACAGCCAACCTATTTTTCAGCCAGGTATGAACTTAAACCTCTATGTTTTAAAGATAGATCATATTCCTCTGGCAGGCCGCTTAAAACATTGTATAGCGAATTAGGAATTAATTTGTGTAGACCCATGGGTTCTGGGGATGGTTCGAAGGGCCCACCTAAACTTTGTGACAGCCTCCTTCCAAGAAAGAGTCCCACTTCCACATTCTTTCTCCCCAGAGGAAGCTTCGTTTGTGGAGATGGAGGTTCAGTTGATGTTACAAAAAGGTGCAATTCACAAGGTCCCTCCAGAACACTCACACAAAGGGTTTGTCAGCAATCTATTTTTTTTGCCCATAAAAGGGGGTGGTCAGAGACCCGTGATAAATCTAAGAAATATAAATCAGTTCCTAAGGTACGAGCACTTCAAAATGGAAGGAGTGCATATGTTACGAGACCCGCTAAAAAAGGCGACTTCATAGTCGAGTTGGATTTAAAAGATGGTTATTTTACACTTCCCATTTGGGAAAAGCATCAGAAATTTCTAAGGTTTATTTGGAAAGAGAACCTTTTCGAGATTGCTTGCCTCCCCTTCGGCCTGGCCTCAGCACTTCGGATATTTACCAAATTAATGAAACCAGTGGTGGGCTTGTTAAGACACCTAGGTATCCGAGTCGTTATTTACCTCGACGACCTGCTCATTATGGCAGAAACGAAGAACTTGCCAGCTCCCAGACAACAACAGCTCTGACATTACTCAAAGGACTGGGGTTTCTAGTGAATTTCAAGAAGTCTGTGCTCTCCCCAACAACAATAATAGAGTTTCTGGAGTTTACGGTAAATTCAGCAACTCTGACCCTTTCACTCCCTTGAGACAAAGCTCAGGAAGGTGAAAAGGGAGTGCCAACTTTTGCTATACAACCCCCTTCCAACTATTCAGGAGCTGTCCAAGGTCTTGGGCCTTCTCACTTCCTCCATCCAAGCAGTTTTTCCAGCCCCCCTCTACTTCCGGCATTTACAGGCAGACAAGAACAGGGCCTTCAGCGTAAATCAGAATTATGCAGCGACCTTTCAGTTGAGCCTTCTTGCAAAGGAGGAATTTGTAGGGTGGAGGGACAACTTAGAAGCTTGGAACGGAAAAGCTCTGACCACAGGGGACCCAGACCTAGTGATAGAGACAGATGCTTCCCAGAAAGGTTGGGGAGCGTTCTGCGTGGGAGTCTCCACAGGGGGTCTATGGTCAAACCGGGAGAAGAAGCTCCACATCAATTGCTCCTTGCAGGTGCCTTTGCAGTGAAAGTTTTTGCTCGAAACAAAATTCAAATGAAAATCCGCTTACTCATGGACAATGTATCGGCTACCAATTACATAAACAAAATGGGAGGTAAAAAATCTCCAGTCCTTGCTCAGCTAGCATTAGACCTCTGGAGTTGGTGTCTAGAACACAATTTCTTGTTAGAAGCCCAACACATTCCCGGAGTCTTGAATGTCAGGGCAGATCACGAGTCCCGAACGTTTCACGATCACAACCACTGGAAGTCGTCTCCAGCTGTTTTCAACCTTGTAAATAAAATACTGGGACCCTTCAATTAGATCTATTTGCCTCCCGTCTCTCAGCACAACTCCCCAGGTTCATCAGCTGGAGACCAGATCCAGAGGCCGGGAAGCATTCGATGCTTTCTCCCAGGATTGGAGCAAGGTACGCGGCTACGCTTTCCCGTCATTTGCTCTCGTCGGTCGCTGTCTTCGACAGGTCTTGCACAGGAGGTCCCAGCCCTAGTTCTGATAACGCCTGTTTGGAAAACTCAAGTGTGGTATCCACTGTTACTAGACCTGTGTGTTGCAACACCTCTACTGTTGCCGAGCTTCCCAGGCCTCCTATCCATGCAGGGGCAAATCCACCCTCTATCCGACCTACAACTAGCAGGCTGGCTAATGTCAGCCAATCCTACACAGAGGCAGGAGTTTCAGAATCAACTCAAACTTTACTCCTTGCCGCCTGGAGGAAGAGCACTTCAGATGTTTACGCCTCAGCTTGGAGAAAATGGGCTAGCTGGTGTTCTGAGAGGCAAATTAATTGCCTTCAAGGAGATGTCTCTGCCACACTAGAAATTTTGGCTTTTGAATAGGAGGCTGGGAAAGCTTACCGAACTCTCAATGTTTACCGCTCAGCTATTTCCATGACTCACCCTAGAGTTGATTCCTTGCCAGTGGGTGAACATCCCTTTTTAAAGCTGTTTCTGAGAGGCATTTTCAATTCTAGGTATCCACTTCCTCGGTATTCCGGAACTTGGGATGTGCAGAAGCCCTTATCTTACATGGAGTCTTTGGGTACCATTGACCTTGTAACCTTGAAGATTTTGTCCCTAAAGTTAGGACTCTTGTTAGCTGTTAACTCTATGGAACCAGTATCCGAAATTGTTGACCATGATCTCCGATACAGGCGGTTTACGCCTGACGGAGTAGTATTTGATCTTCCAGAGTTGACTAAGAAATCTAGGTTTCACCGAGGTCCTAAGGCCTCTTTTCATGCAAGCTTTCCTGACAATCCCAAGCTCTGTGTGGTGGATTGTCTTAAGGAGTATGAGAGAAGAACTGAGCCTTTCCGTGCTCATTCAGAAAGGTCTAAACCCAAGAAGCTGTTGCTTTCTTATATTCGCCCCCACCGACTTATCTCATCAGAGTCCTTGAGTAGATGGCTTGTCTCCTTTCTATCCAGTGCTGGGGTAGACACCACCATTTTTAAAGCTCATTCTGTCCGAGGCGCTGCTTCATCTGCAGCTATGAGCGCAAGAATTTCCCTCAGACTGGTCTCAGTATTCAACTTTCGCTCGTTTTTACTATAGACCAGTTTTCAACCCCTCAGTTGGTCGGCAAGTTTTAGGACATGGCACTTAGGTTCATGAGTTCCTTTGAACTTACGTTGTTATATTGAGACGACTGTTCTGAAGTATAATTACAGATTATGCAAGGCTGAGGTATAATAAGAATTATACGAAGATAAAGGAGGCGAGATATAACAATATCCCTTCCCTTCCCCCCCAATAGAAGCAGTTGTCTCATGAACCATATGTCGTTTATTTGTAACCTTGTTCTTCCTTTGTTTTTTTCAGTCGCTCAAGAAAATGGCGGAGTGTTCAGGGGCGCGCGGAGTTTTATGGGACTGGGGCCATGGTCACGTACCCTCTTTGTGTTTCTTTTTCTTATCACATTTCTGTAAATAAAGAGAGAAATAAAGTGGTTTTATCTTGTTATATTTCACCTCCTTTATCTTCGTATAATTCATATTATACCTCAGGCCGCAAGCGGCCCTTGCATAATCTGTAATTTGTTTGTATGTTCCCCGGACGAACATTTTCCCTAGCGACTCGAGAGCTTCTGGTATTTTCTTCTTATGATCCTGCGAAGAATAGCTTATTTTGTCTGTTACATTTGTTTTCTTCTTCTCGGTGTTAGTGTTGGTGGATGCGGCAGAGGAGACTGCATTCATCGGTCGGATTGGGTTAAGTAGAGCGTTAGGGAATTGAGACTCCTTGCTCGCAGGAGTCGAAGTGAGCACATTACCTCCTTGAAGCCCTTCATCCAGACGTGACTTTTTCGGCGTAACGGGAAAAGGTAAATCTCCTCCATCATGTGCACGTTTGTTCTGGGAAGTTACACTGTTTCGGAAAGTTTCTTCGATATCTTTCATAGTCCTTTTCGAGCAAGTTCACGCAAAGATTGCATGCTATTTGAGTTTCCATCTGTACTTTACATAGCGATAAAAACTCAAAATAACCGGGCAAAAATATAAAATGTTTTCGACCTGTCAAACTCACGTGTGAAATCAAAACATCGACCCCGTAGATAGAGACTGGGACGAGCCAATGAGAGGTCGCATTATAAGGTAGCCAATCGACAACGATTATATATTTTCAAACTAGTTGCGGGGGGTCTTTCTACACGTTTTTGTTCGATATTACGCAGACCCACTTAACGAAGGATCAGTGGCCAGGGGCTGCACGCAGGCTAGTAGTGACTCATTAGCATCATACGTTTCTCATCATGACTGTGATACTGGTGATTCGATCCGGGACCTTCTGATTATGTTGACGAGAGCAGATGGCAGTTTTATGTTGACTTTTTGTCATTACTTTGTGTAACAAATACCACAATGACCACACCCACTAAAAAATGGAAAGTTTATATAGAGTGAGTCATTACGCAAAGATAGCTCACCGTTGAGGTCAACAGAATTTCCAATTCTTGGCCGTAAGCGGTTTAAAAGCAGTGATATGACACCTGACGTTTCCTGGGAAACAAAGTAATTTTTCACTCTAGCATGCTTGAATTCATTAACAGCAATAAAAGTTACACCTACAAAACCAAAATAAATAAGACTAAGATCATCTAAAGGTCAGTCATCCTCAATTCAGTGGTAAAAAAGATAACTTATCGAGGTGTATCTGTTTCTGTAATAAAAATTTGTTGTAAATTTTTTTTTTCACATTACGGTTTGAATTGTGGTCGAGGTAAATAAGAAGTAGTCAGCAAAGGAATCTATTTAAAACACGCTTTTCCAGTCATCTGAACTGCTTTCCACAAGGAACGAGTGGTTACGGATACTTGGCGTAATAGTACATAGTATTACAGTTAAATAAGGGGAGGATGGATTTTAATGGTTAGATAAGGTATCACTTGTGAAATATGAGATAAATGATCGAATTCATACAACATTTGGTACTTATAAATGGAATTAAAAGCTTCAAACCGACCTTGCCGATTACATTTATTGCCTTTCGGTTTCTATCTCACATATTATATTTCTCTAACGGGAAGTCATTAACCGCATCACCCAGAGAATGATCGAGATTTAAACCGATTTTTATGTACGACGTTGTAAACCAAATTTATTTATTTGGTACTGGGCAACAGTGGTAGATAAAACAGTTGTTTTGAGAGACAGTACTTACCTCGACCTGTGGCCTTCGGCGCCTTGCTCCCAAATAAAAACTGATTACCTCTGCTCGTCTTTTGAATGCTTTTTCATTTTTTTATTGGTCAATCAAATCAGGCAGCCAGTAGAATGTGGCCATCTGTTTCCTGCGCAAACTTCGTCGGAATACCACGTTCAAAGTCATCATTGGGCCCTCGTTCAAACGTGCGAGCATGTGGAAACGTTGAAACGGCTTCAACCCTGCTTTACCTCTTCCTCTTCCTATTTTTGTTTCAATCTATAGATTTTTGTGCACGTTCCATTTTTTGTTTTTGTTTTTCGTTAATTTTTCACGACACCGGCAGTCTCGCATGTTCTCCTTTATAATTTTGGAGGCAAAATTGGAGCGCGGCTGATCAAAACTGAACTTTTATGAATGCACGAAGTTTGACCACCGAATTACCTCACCGTTCCTCTCAGACGTAAGCGCATTTAAGCCCAAAAAGAAGAACTCTGAGTTCTTGAAATGACAGATTTCTACGACCTCTCCTCTCCATATTCCCCTTAAAGATAAGAATTGCATTTAGAATATATCTAATCTTTAGGTGACTTTGTCACTTTGGCGAGGTTGCCTCTGTCACCTACTAAATTTAGCTACTAAGCTTGAAAGATACATCTTCATTTCATCTCTGCACTGAAACGTCACATTACCACAAAATGCTACAGCTAGTCTGTCGAATTGTTTTTCCCGTAGACTAAGCGTAATGATAGAGGAATTGTAATTCGTGTCAGGCAGGAACACATCAGATTTCCGATTCAATTAATAGAATAATTATACTGTGGTATCATCTTTTCGTTTTACAAGTATTGCTGTTTCATTGGTAAATTTGTTGTTTCACATGAGTGGGAGTGAACGCAGGGCAAACGCAAGTACGATTTCCGACGATTACCTTCGGTTCTATTGATCCTTGTTTCAGGTTGACTTTGAAATTTTTAGTTTGGATGACAATACAAAAGTGCTTCTGGGTACAAAAGGAATTTAAGACCTTCGTTCTGGCGAAGTGCTAACGCTCCAACGGCGTCTGCTGTAAAAACTCTCTACCCGGGCTAATTCATATCTTCAACTCGTTGGAAAAAACCAAATGTTTTAATATACCTCCACTGACACAGCATCACAATTTCTTTAGGAACTTACCCTTTATCAAGGGATTTACAGGGGTTTTTGAGACTTCTCAAGGGTTTGTTTATAGATCAAGGGTATCTAAATTTGGTAACAAAATTGTTGACACATTGACCTTTTCAACCCCCTTAAGTTAACCTATTCGCTCCCTTCCTCCCCCCCCCGTCAAATGGTGTATCGTGATTTAAGAAACATTGAATGGGGTAGGGGGGCTTGTCTGTGATTTAGATTGTGGTAGAAATAGGAGACTGAGTTCTCTACACATAAATAAAACTCCTAAAATTTTGGCGCTGAGGGTATTTTTACTAAGCTTGCGACTACGCTATTTAAAGCATCTGTTTCTGTCTCAGTTATAGCAAAGGAAAACATTTTTGCGCACAATCCTTTTCGTTTTCTGTCCACATGTCCACGCTGATGCGTTCTTATTTCAACACGAGCCACATGAAGCTAAGTTTTCCAAAAGTTTTCCAAAAGTTTTCCAAATCCTTATTGGTTACAAGTCCCCTACTCGTTCGAGTACCATCGCAAGGGACTCGGATGGAAAGGAAATGAAAATGGCCGCCGGCGGTCGGTCGAGGTGAGATCTTAACTTGGTCAGTGACGTCCTGTATATGCTCTGTTCTCGTTTTTTTGTCACAATAATGGATGTAAATGTCCAAAGCTCTATCCCATCGTGGTCATACGCTCCCGTGAAGCGCATGTTTCCTTCTGATCATCCGTTCTTCGAGGTAAACTTCCAACGGTTATTTTGTTGATAGAGATTTTATGGTAACTAATTATGATAATAGGAAAAATGAAAATTACTTTATGTGGTAACTTACTTGGTTAATGCACTAGTTTCTTTTATAATCTAGTGCATATTAATACAGAATTGTTGTTAAGTGTATATGTTTTTGCGAAATATTTATGCTATGTATTTCAAAATTTTAATACATGCACTTGTTTGCTGGGCCCTGCAGAAAATTTGCCCCATCGATTACTTTTCTCGCGCTGGCCACCAAAAATGGCTTTTACTCTCTCTTTTAAACAATGAATTTGGCTGTCAGACTACGATTAAGTAATGTTTGATTTTATCTTTCCTTGTTATAGATACAAAAAATATTTCTTAAGTATGATGTATTGACACTGTAGAGGAAACATATAACTTTGTACTAAAAATATTTTATTCATAGGAAGGAGAATTATTTTGCAATGTTTTAAAGAAAGATCTGGACAATAGTGAGGAAGCTGATAGCTTCATGCAAAGGCAGGTTTTAAGACAAGTAACTGTTATATTAATTCATGTACCATCATATACTATTGTGGTAGTGTTATTGATGGTTTATGACTTACTGTACTTCAAGGTGAATGATATTACATGTAGCTGTCTTGCCCCACAGCACAGTGATGTGAGGCTGTACTTTGCACCCACTCACCTTGCTTTATTCTTTCTTCTGCACTCTTTGGCTTTTGGATTCTCTCAGGGCAACTGGTGACATAATTATGGCAGCTAACAGAAAATTCTTTAGGCTCCCTTACCTGCAGTGCCAGACAGTAATGTTGGGATTAATGAATTGATTGGATGCTTCTTCTATTGCAAATAAAGACTATAATGTATCATTGTTATATCTGGCAGTTAGTACCTAAGTTACGATTGGTCAATTTAGCAGGCAACATTTCACTATGTGGCCCTCTAAATTTGAAAGTTTGTTAAATGAATAGAAATCTTCCCTTCATATGAACCCAGAGATATAATATTATTATAGAATATCTTATGAACCTTGTGTAAGTGATCCATACTTTAAGCTACAGAACCTTGTATTTTGCTCAAATTGGTGGCTGGCATACTTTGTGCTTGGGCCATAAATCCAAACTTAAAAAGCTTGGTCTGTAACTTACAGTACAAACCTCAGACTCCTTTAGTAGGAGCAATCTACAGCTGTATACCATTAATTTATTTTCAGAATTATTTGATTCACATTCATTTCAAGAGGAACATTTTTAGTTAATCAATTAGTATTGTGCATTTACAATTAAATTTTGCTCTTTGATAGGGCTGAATTTCAATGTGACATTCCAGGTTGTGGAGAATGGTTTCCTAGTGTTCCAAGGTATTAAACAGCTCATAAATAGGAAATTTTAACAGAATAATTATTGTAAAATTGGTCTTACAAAAAATTAATCAATTTTAGTTTTAAATTTGAGTTGTTGAGAGACTGGCACAAGTTTCCTTTGCTAATTACAAAGTGAAGCAAAACTTTATCACTCAGTTGAGAACTGCTTTAATATTAGATTATTTTCTATTTGGTTTAAGTTAGGTTTTTTTAAACCTAATAACAATACAGCAGAAGTTGATTATTTTATTAGTTTTCGTTATGTCTTATACTATACAGTAGAACCTCCCCATAGCGGCCACCTTGAGGATAGAAGGAAATGGTGGTTGTGGACTGGAGAGGTGGCCATTGCAGAGAGGTTTAAATGAATGTAAGGACGGCCTGCCGTCCTTGTCAAGAGGTGGCCATTGTAGAGTGGTGGCCATTAGTGAAGGTTCAACTAGATTAATTTTGAAACTTGAAAATAATAGTAATTGAGGTTTTATCATTTTCAATCTATGTAGCTACGAGGCACACTATAACAGTCTGCATCGTTACTGTTGTCAAAAGTGTCAGCGTTCTTTTCCATCAACTCACCTGTTGGAGATTCACGTGCTAGAAAACCATGACACATTATTCAACATGATAGCCGTGAGGAAAAACCTGGTAAATAGTTATTTACATGTCTTGAGTGTTGATAATCAGCCTGGGCTGCAACATGTAAAGATAGCAAAGCATGTTAGATGGAGCCTTGAGAGAGAGAGAGAGAGAAAGACAGCAGAGAAAATGGGTGAGATGCTCCCACTGCGCTGCATGTAAGATTGTGTCCCATGAGACCAACTGATAATCATGATAAATGTCAAGACACTGATGGGGCTTTCTCCTTAAAAGAGACAGATATGTATGAGGCTGTGAATCAGAAAGATTTTACATGATTTATCAAGATATGTTTGCAGTTGTGTCTCTACCCCAGATTAAGCCATACAATAAGGTTAGAACATCCAGATGTAATAAGTTCCATTTTTATTATAAATGGTGACCTTTCCTACTCATTTTGATAACTGCGTGTGTGTTCTTTGTAGTATAGATGTCTCGTAGAGAGTTGTCCTGATAGATTTTCAAGCGACGAGGAAAGGAAGGTTAAACAATGTGAAAAAATGAACCATCATTTATTACTTTGCTTTCACTTAAATTTAATACCTTGCTATTATTTTGATGTTGATTGGAATAATCACCATCAATGTAAGTATAGAGTAATGTAATATATTTTTTTCCTAAACAGGATCATCTAGTTTCTTTTCACAAGTATCCCTCGGACTTCAGATTCAACCGTCCAAGCAGACAACAACGAAAAAACAAAAGGTTTAAAAATTACTTTTATCTACAACCAACTATTTTTAATTAATGAACAGTATGGTTTATTTTAGTGAGCATTTGATTCCTGAAGTTACAAACTAAACTCAGCCACCTTAACTTTGCTTGAAACAAACGGCTTCATGTGTGCAAGGAAGACACTCTTGTCAGGAGCAGTGTTATCTATTTTCAGGCAAATAATCCCTTTGAATAATCTGCCAGATTTTGTGTAGGGGGATGTTGCCTTGTATAAAATTATTACTCATAGAAATTTTCAACAAAGAATTATTTTCTCTAGTTTATTTAGTTATTTCATACTTTTTAGTGTATGCTTTTTTCTAAATTCTGCAATTTTTCCCCTCAGTCAATCTACCATCATCAATTTTTTTTCTACATTTTTTGAGATCTTAGTGTTGATCCTCCTCCAAGAGTTTCTTAGTCTTCCATTTCTGTAAGCTTTCCTCTTTGAAAGGTTAAACATCTACTGTAGCAGTAGATGCATCCTCTCCTTTGAGGTAGTTCTCTCTATATATACTTATGGTTAACCTACATATTTATAAAAAGTAGGAACTCTTGTTGTGTGCCAGTGAATAAATGGTGAACAGAAACCATGCTGAGTATTTTTTCATTGCTCGGATTTGTGAGTCAGTCCAAGGCAGTCAGTAGAAAACAATTTTACAGACTCAGAAAAGCTTTTTGATCTCCCCCCTTTTACTGGAAGATTTGACAAACTGGAAGACTGAGAGATTTGTTTTATAAGTATATTGTGTGGGAGTCTCCTGAATAAAAGCAAGGGAGTTGGCGTACACTGTAAATGGTTCATTTAGCCATATTCTCTCATGAATATTGGGGTGAAGTTGATGGATGTTTTTCTTTTATGCCCTCTTGCAGTATGCACTCTTCAGGTGAAGCAATGGACACCTCTGATATACCTCAGGTTAAATCAACTGAGTCAATGTATTCAATAAAAACTTTGTGTGAATTACTCTTCAGAAAAATTATTAGTTTCACTCAATGTTAATTAATAACTATTTGCTGCAAAGTGAATATTGTTGCAAAATTGTCTCAGGGATTACTCAACCATGTTCACTGAGTCAGTGCAACTTAGTGTACTTCCTCAGGTACTTTTGAATTCTGTTTTGAATTCAATCTGTAAATATAGAAAGCATCACACTTATTTTGTTACACTGAATATTATTGTGGTGATTACTTTTTTCAACCGAAGATAACAAGAACTTTCTGCAGGTTTATTTAATTTAATAAGCAAAACTTCATAATTTTCTTTTGAAAAGTGCTCCACCACAAACCCAGTAGCATTTCTTGTGTTTTTCGAGATTGAATATTTTCTTCTATTGCATCAATCACTTCCTTGGAAACATTGAGGCAGCCATTTTGACATTAGCTCCTCTGCTATAATCACCTAATGCTTGGTTATTATAGCAAGATACAACATGTCCCTCACCAATCAGTGCATGTGGCCATCTTCTATAATCATCTGAGCAATTATGCTAAAAGGAATTTACTGAATTATGTACTTGTAAATACAATCCATTTCCTTGCAAGGTTTTCAATGCATTTGTATTGCTCTTACAGGCTGAAGTAGCCCTGATCAAGTATTTTTGTCTTTTGTTTGATAACATCATTATAGTAAAATTATTTTTAATTTCAATGAAAATCCAGTCATTTCGAATAAGTCTATAAAGAAGGCCACCTGGTTTTTGTACTCTAACAGTGTTAACTTAAACTTACTTTTCTGGCATGCAAGAAATTGCTTCATTATTTTTATTATTCATTTAGAAACTAACTTCACTCTCTTTGGTAGGAACCTGCATCCTTGACCAATGCAACACCAAAACAAAGGTGAATGTCTTGAACAACTTATGATGATCTTTAATTTAACTCTCACTTGGAAACAGGCAAGAGTTGTTCTAATAATTCTTTTAACAGACCATAGTTCCAGTTTATTGTACATTGTATTAAGGACCTTTTGACAAGTTATTATCATGCAATTAATAAGCTTTTAGCCTGACTAAGATACTATGAATCATAAAAGTCATGTACCATACCAATTTATTTATGTACCATACCAATTTATCAGGCAATTTAAATAAGCTTTCAGCCTGAATAAGATACTATGAATCATAAAAGTCATGTACGATACCAATTTATATTAAAAGTGTTAGATTCAGTTTGACTTATTTTGTTGATCTGTTTTATACAAGCAAGATTTTGATCAAATGAATATGAATTTGTAAGCTTTGGAATTGGTACACTTTCACCTTTCAAGAACAAACTGAAGTAAAAATTCCCAAACATTTATTTATTAAATAGTCTGATGAATTAATAACTGGACTAACACCCCCTCTTCTTTGGAATCTCAGAGTTTGCAGGTTATTGGAAGACACTTAGTAATTCATGTTGTTATAATAGAAGGATTTTGGTTGTACTTGTTTTCACCCCAGGCTACCAAAGACAATATGCTTTGGCAGAGGATCCAGCAGAACTTTCCAAAAAAATGTCAGCAAAAATAGCAAAAAAAAGTCAAAAAAGAAGGATGATAAAAAAGACCAAGGTGCTTCTGGAGAGGTAGTTATAAGTTAGTACAGTTAAGCAGTTTTGTTATATTTGATTTACTTTGAGATTAAATTTAACTTTCAAGCCTTATATGCTCTGAACCAACATGTACTGCAACAGATTGTTGTACTCACTGCTGGATGTGTACACTGTACATGATGCATTAAGTATAAATGTTTTTGTTCAACCTCACTTTTGCTGTCACAGAAACTGATTTTTAAAGTCTTCAAGGTAAAAAGTGGATTGCTTTGTTCTAGTATGACTTGACAAACTTCGAGTTATGAATTACCACAGTTGACTGTGAATTTACTTTCAGTGTAGCTAATTTAGTGTATAGCTATTTTTACCATATTATGGCCAAACCAAGGTAATGTATAATCTTGTTCTATTTTGCAGGTTACAATGAGTGAAGTTAGCTGATGGCATGTTAATAATAACCTCTTTTTTAAGTCAAATTTATGTTTAGATGTACAGTATAATTATGTCAAAAATTATAATAAAATATCATCAGTAATAAATTTAACCTTGTGACATCTTGTTGAGTAAACATGTATTACATAATTGTTTAATGGTCTCCCGCTATCAAAAATTTAAACCAGTCACATTATTAAGAATTAAGAATATTAACTTATATTGCACTAAGATCAGTATACATTTTCATTCAGCACAGAACACTTTTATTACTCAAATTTTGCTGAATAGTCCAATCCTTTCGAGTTTCTGGATTGATAATGATTTCAAAATTTCAGACAGTAACTTACTTGTGGTATAGGATATTTTCACAAGCACAATCTTCCACAAAGTACTTACACGCACCTATTGATACATAAGGATGGCTGAACCCTGGGGGGGGGGGGACTCCTATATGAAACAGATGGGGATGCTCGTCGGAAATTTTGAATTTAACCCCTAAAGGAGACCATCTAGGTGTGGATCAAGCTTTTTGTAACCCCTAAAGGAGACCAATCTGGGCATGGCTTAAGCAAATTTTTACCCCTAAAACAGAGCTTTCAATAAGACCTGGCACCCGCCGGTGCTTAGGCAGGTATTTTGTTGTGAATCGCCAGGTATTTTTCACCGTGCTCAAGTCGCGGTTACCACGCTCAAGTCGCACTCAAGTCGCTCTCCGGCGGGTGCTGTACCGAGGTAGCCACCTAGTTCAAATCTTATTGAGAGCACTGCTAAAAGAGGCAAAGCACAAAGACATCTTGTAACACTTCCTTTATTGTCGCTGATTAATCGGATTGTAATGCTCCTGGGCTCTCTACTATTTGTAGAAATCTTTGATTTATAATCACAGAGGTAATACAGTAAACAAAACAAGTTAGAAAGAAAATTTGACTTCTGTTTCTCTTTGTGTAATTCTGTGTTTCTGTGCAGAACCCTAAACGAGACCTTGGCTGCTTAAAATATTGGTGCTTTGCCTGGAACAACCCTAAGCAAGACCAAAGTCCAAAATTTACATCCCTAAGCGAGACAATGGGCATCCCTATCTGTTTCATATGGGAGTCACCCCCCCTCCTCCAGGGGCTGAACTGATCTTAAAATTTGGAGAAGGGGAGGGGGTTAAGATCAAGTGTTTTAACTCTTTAACTGCCAAGATCTGATCATTCAATTCTCTCCTTTAGCTGGTACACATTTTCCTTGTAAATAAGTTGAGTGAATTTGGTGTTTGATCAAGATCACTTCTTCCTAATAAGCCTGAGTATTCTCTTTAACTTTTTGCTCGATAATACATGGTTATTATTGGGAGAAGTTGCATGTTGATCACCTCTAGGAGTTCAAGGCTTAAAGGGAACTGTATGTAAGGGGTCTGACATTCTTCAACAGAAAACTTGGAAATGTTGTGGCTCAGAAATGCTATTTTCAACAATCATCATGAAACATTTCTTTCAAAATATTGTTCTAGATAATTTATAAACTGAGGTGCTATGAGTGTCTTCAGCTTTCCAGTTATATATAACACCCTACCCCACCCATCTTGAAAGAAAGAGCAGACGGGAAGACATTTAAAACACACTGTACTTGAAAGCTTCTGAAAGGCTTGTTGAAAGCTGAAGTTTGGTCAGTTTTTTGCCACCAAAATAATGCCTACATGTAAATTACATTCAAACTTTAGTTTCATCCAAAGAATGACTGAAGTGTTTGCTTATTTTTAGATATTATTAATTGAACATTGTGATCATGCAACGACTTGCGGTGGCTTTCTTGTTTTTGGTTGGAGAGAGCAAAAGAAATAATGGAACCCTTGTGAAAGTCCAGATCTGTCCTGGATATAAATAAGGGGGAGCTGACACCAGTGAAGTAGGATAGAAGAGGTCCTTTGGTGTGCCCCCAAAAGGGGAAATGCAGTAGAACCTCCCTCAATTGAACCTGGTTAACTTGAACAAGATCCCATTTCTCTAAGATTTCACCCCATTTTCCAGTCATTTACTATCATCTAACTCAAACGTGTTTAACTAGAATTCCCCATTACCTTGCACTAATTTTACTTTCCCTTCCCTTAATTTACCCTTTGGTGTCTTGAAATTTACTTAAAAAACATAAGTTGATAAACATCAAAGTGTTAAAACAAAGCAGATTGATAGGTTCCAACAGTTAACAGCAATTGATACAATGCGATAACAATTATGAAAACATAAATACAATTGTCTAAACATCCAAAAAAATGTTCTTATAACAAAATTAAAAACCTCAAAAATAAACTAAATGCAAGAAAATGACTGTTGACTGTGCAAGAATGGTAAAAAGATGATTCCTTATTTGTTTTAAACAAGAAAATTGAAATTCGACACCAACCCTGACAATTTAAAGCCCTGCTAACTTGAACCATTTTTTGTTTCCCTTGGGAGTTCACAGTAGCAGGGTTCTACCGTGTTTCCTTACAGGATCTGCTGAGCCAGACTTTCCAAGCCTTTCCAGCCTTCATGGATTGGATTCAGGCAACTAAGAGTTGTTTCACACTTTGTGTTAGAGAAGTTTTGAAAGTACAAAATTAATGCAATCTAAAAAAAAAAAAAGCTTATGTATAGCATGCTTTCTTACTGATTTTAAATATTAAAAAATAAGTTTACATTATTAAATATTAAATAATTTAACACTGTTAAAATCCATATATCATCAGAACATGTAGAAGTGTGTCATGCAAAATTCTACGTTGCATTACAGTGATCTTGATCTAACAGGTTCTTATAGAACAGTTCAATGGCATCCCACTGCCGAGAGGCAATAAGTATGTGAGGTCTTTTACTTTTGATGTATTGGTGTGCGTCCATAGGACTCAGTTTTTTGGCCTGCAATCCAGAACAAAAGGAAATGAAACTAATTAGGAGAATAGGGAGGCTTTTGTATACTTTTAAATCATAATTTACTTCAGTCTCTGGTTACAAAACCTGTATAAAATGCAGGTCATAAAACCTGAACAAAATGTTAGTTTCAAACTAAATGCTAAATTAAAAAAAAAGAGTTAATCTGAGATGCAACAATAAACCAAGAAAAGAGTGATGGCTGAGGATGGAGAATTGTTAATAATACTTTGATTACAAAAACTGTGTGGAAAGTGTTCAAGAATGTGTAACCAAGACAACCTATCAATCACTTTTGTTGTTGTTGCATAACATAGGTGACCTAGCTGTGGAATAATCTTGTGTGCAATCAGTAGTCACTGCATAGCGTTTTAATTAGTTCAGTAGCAGAAATGTTTTAGGGGACCCTTCCAAAGAATGTTGAGATGAGTTTGTGTAGAGCTGTTCCAGAGGATCTCAATATTAGTAATATTAAGTCTTTTTTTATTTTCGTACCACCAAGAATAATGACACCCTGACATTCAACGAGGAACTAAGAAATTTGGGCTAAAAATGACTTTGAAGATGAGTGTATAAACTCAATGAAAAAGTTCTTTTGAGTGTTACTAGGTGTAGCTATATTTCATGAAATAATTACTTTATTTACCTTCATAACATAACATGTTGCAAGTGTGGCACTGCGTCCCCTTCCTGCCTTGCAGTGAACATACACACTGTTTTGGTTCTGATTCATTTCTTCGATGAATTCAACTCCTCTTCTAAGCATCTCCTGAGATGGTGCATTGTTAAAATCCACTGTAGGCAAGTGTAACTGAGTCACTCCCCAATTTTCCCATTCCTGTCCACCAGACAAAAATGAAATGCTGGCAATTAAGGGTGTTTACAAATCTGAATATCAATTTGCCACTTAACAGTTATTGCCATATCAGGGTGATTGGATTAAGTATATTAAACATTGTATTATCAGAGTGGCAGCACCAAAACAGAGCTTGTTGGACAGACAGAAAGACCATCAACTCAACAGAAAAATCAGGCACAGGCTGTACACGCCCACCAGGAAAGGAGTGCTGATCCCAAATGTTTGCCACTGTAAACTGCGTGTACCATATCATTTATAATAAGTTGGGTATGAACCCAAGTTTTTCAGGGTTTTCGGGCCATAGGGAAAAACTTTGGTCTGTACCACTTTCATCTGTACCTGATTTTCGTGTGGTGCAAATGGCCTTAGAGTGAGAGTATTAGGCATTCTATGTACAAACTGTCAATAATGATATGTCAATCAGGTATTGCTCACATTGTCGATATTTTCCCTTGCTTCAGATTTTAAGAACCAGACTTATGTTTCAGGTACTAAGATGTTAGATGCAAGTCTGGCCTGCAGGCAAGTGATTTGAAAGACTAGACTTTCTTTTGAACCATGGACAAAGAATTCAACCTCATCCACCATTCAACCTGAACTGGCTTGATCTCAGTTGATCAATCCATAAGAGAATGGTCTTATGGATTGATTGACCGCCTCCTGGTTAGCTTAATTGGTAGAGTCCCGGACTGTTGTGCAGGAGGTCGAGGGCTCAAGCCCGGGCCGGACCAACACTCAGGGTCTTAAAATAACTGAGGAGAATGTGCTATATAGCTTTCTATATAAATATCAAGTAATGGATAGATATTCTAGTCTTCTCAGAAAAGGATGAATAAACCGTAGGCCCTGTCTCCTGCAGGGTTAGGGGTAAGAGACATTAATTTTCCATACACAAGATCACTGTGTGGTGGATGTCATCCCCTGGAGTGGTATGGGTGGGTGTGAGGGCCACAGGTTAGAAAACTGTAATACATTATTGCCCTTCCCTCCTTCAAGTAAAGTTAAGTTAAAATAAAGTTAAGTTAAGTCAACAACTGACCTTGCTGTTTTCTTTATCCAAAAAACTAAAGGTTTCTTGATAGAGTTGTATTTTTTGTTTTTGTTGTAGTTTGTTTTTTGTTTCCCTTAAGTCCTTACTGTCATCTGTGACTTCCCATTCAATACCCCCCTTTAGATTACATACAGTCAAACCTGTATTAAGGATACGAAATACTTTCAGGAACAAAATTTTTGAAAATTATTTTTTGCCTAATGTCAGGTATGTGAGTGTAATCTATCAAATTTCATCACCTCAGTAGATCAAAACATTACTCCTGGCGAGAATTATATTAACGAAAAATCAATTTGAGACCAAAGTAAACAAATCATCTAAGGAAACTTTGGAACTAGTGCTTTCCTCAATTATGGTGGTCATGCAATTACTGTATAAAATGGCATTCATTATTATTTGTTTTACAAATTAAATTACCCTATCATGAGAAATTTGTATCAAGCAGTAAGTCCACCACTTTAGCCACTTTATACAGGTCTCGACTAGGGGCGGGGATGTCCCTCCCGCTTCCTGTACATTTATCTATTTATTTTTGCGTTGCTATGTGAATTGACAGGTTGGTTCGTTGCTATAAGCTAGGGGCGAGTGTTTTTCAACACCGAGTTGAGTTGAGTTTTGGAGTATTGCGAGCGAATAAAGTGATTAAAATATACAAATATGGAACCAGCCGAGTATAATTGTTGTCCGTCAACGACAATTTGAGCGAGCATGATAATGAACCCTTTAACTTCTGCCGGTATAATGTCCATACATTACCTGGCAAACAAGTTATGAGAATATCCAAAATTATCACTCGCCGGGTAAAGTTATTATCCTAATCTAACACCAAATTCTTATAACTAACTTACAAGAAAATATGTAGCAGCTAGATGAGAGAATTAACAATCAGATCTTGGGAGTTAAACAGTTAATGTATATTGCAGTTATTGTTATTCTTTGTACCTCTTTACTGTTGGAAAAGTATCTTAATTCATAATCCTCATTCATGGTGACTACTCCTCTAACATTTTCATTTTCCACCAACTGCAAATAATAAAAGTAGCAGTTATCATGTTGACTTTTATTGAAAAGTTTTTAGTTAATCTTTTTCTCACCAAGATGCAATAAGATTCTTTATATCATACAAATCAATTTTCTAATATAAGGTCCAGTTCAGACACCGTATTTCAGCTGCGCTTAATCGAATTCAACTTTAGGCCGACCTAAATTACTTAATCCTAGCTGAATTGATTCAGACGCAGAACTTATTTCGGCTGAAATTAATTAACTGAAGAAATTTGTGGCCAGGGCTGGCGCAGTTCAAAGTAACAAATTTGATAAGTGTTATGAAGAACGAAAGTTATTGGTATGGCATGGTCAATGTAAGGAAGTTTTAAATATTTTATTTGGTCACTTCTTTAAAGAAGTAGCTATTTTAAATAAAGTCTGGAAGTTGATCAGTAAGTGTTTCAGCATGACCCAATATAGTTGCTTGAAATGCAAAATTCCAATATGCAATAAATGTTCAATTTTTCAAGAAAACAAAGATTATCATGCTTGCAAAAGTGTCACTTTTTTGTGTGCAATACAAAAAAGAGGTGGGAAACAGGACATTGCTGACGCAGAGGACAATTACATAATGCCCAAAGAACCTACAGAGCTATGAATCAGTGTCATTTCAAAAGGCGTAGACTAGGGCGCCCATTCAATATCTGTCAGCATCATTTTTCTCGGCCATTCAAGGCCCCATTTTCCTCTTCAACACTCCTTTGCACATGCTCACATGTAAAAACAGCAAGAAAATACATTAAAATAATTTATACATTTGATTTGGCTCATGTAAAGTACAGCGTCTGAGTCAAAGCTGGTCTACAGCCGTTCTTCCCAGCTAAGTCAGGCAGGATTAATTGACAGAGCTGATCTAAATTAAATTAGCCATTCCAAATTGATTCAGATGCAGTACTTCACGTGAACTTAATTCGTCGAATATGATTCCGTATGGCTGAAGTACGGCATCTGAACCGGGCCTTAAACAAATTAATTAGAATGAGTAATTAGGTGGACAATAAGAAAGTCTATCATTCACTAAAGCTAGCAAGTAATGGGTAAACTCAACGGTGATTACTATACAGAATACAATTAAAATCCATGTAAGTCCATGCTACCACTTAACTTTAAAATTGTCTACTGACCAAGGGAAATACTGGGTGTGTAACAAATTTGGTGAACCCAATTTCAACCTTCTGTAAGGACTATAGGACACAGGAAGATATACATGTGTATGCTGAATTTCTACCAGATCACAACAATTTGATAAAGGCAGGGCTCAACACTAATGGTAGTCATCTAGCCACAGAGTAGTAGAAATTCAGTTTTGGCTGGTGATTTTCGATTTCCACTAATAAACAAACTGAAATTGTAGTAACACAAGTTGTCATGATCACTTAAGCCACTGGCTAGAAAGTTGAAAAGTTAGTGCCAAGTCCCGTAGAGGTGCTTCGTAAGATGAGTTGGTTATAATTTTGATAATTGTTAAGTCCAATAATATGCGAAACACATTGTTGGAGATGATACCGAGGAATTCTCCTGAATGCAAAAGGAAAGAGAAGAAACAGGTATGCTCAGTTTCTCAAAGTTACCCAGAGACAAAATTAATAATCACATCTAAGAGCACTTGAAAAATACTTACCTCCTTAGTTTGACTCTTAAACGGTAACGCTCCTAAGAGGACGTGTGTGTCTATACGATCGTACCATCGTTTGGTGGAACTCTCCGTTGCAATTCCCCAGAGAAGGGAAGGGTAAAATGCCACTCTTGCAAATATCCAAGAGCTCATCACGTCGGAAAGGTTCGGTTTAAACAACCCCAAATTCAAGAGGTTTTCGAAGATTAGGTATTGCTTCTTCGCAAAATCATTGGAAGAGACCGTAAGAAGAAATAACAGCCACAGAGAACAGTAAATATGTAGTCTTGTTCCAATGTAGGAGGAAATAGAATACTGCCTAACCGGAACCTAAAGATCTGGGAGCGATGTTATGCAGGAAGAAAATTACGTAATTCATCTCCAGACTCCACACGTCTCGAGTCCTTGATCCTTTGCGGTCATATAAAAACAAATTCAAAGCATACACAGAATTTGCCAGGTCATCTCTGGAGAAAGCATTTGAGGAAAACTGCGATCGATTGTCCAGAAAAGGTAAAGAATCAAAGGAAGAAGTCTTTAAAAAATGCGAAAACTATCGATGATACAAATTTCTCTTGTTAAAATTGCGTGACTAGCTCATTTCTTTAGGTCCTTGCGTGACACGCATGAGAGACCAATTCTGTAAGATCAGCAGAAATTGTCAATTTTTTCTACATAATTTTTCATGTCGATCGTCATAGGAATATCGAGTCTTTATTTTGTGCAAGTAGGTACTTCTGCTGCCTTTGATGTCACGATGGAGGATTCCCAAGCCGAGAAAAGGAGGTTATCCTTTAAAGACGCTTTGTTAAATAAATACAGCGAAGACCATAGCGACGAAGAGTTATTATGCTTCATACATATAACCGGTTCTCCAAAACAAAAGAGTGAGTTTACCGAACACAAAAAGTTTTATCTTAAAGTTATTCGGAAAGATTTCCATATATCTCCGTAATATTGTAAAACAAATGGGATCATCGCCGGTGAGGAGTTTCTGAGGTGGACGTTTTGAGCGCTAGCTAGCTAGCTCTTCGTCAGATCGAATGGGTTTAGCGAAGGGTGAACGCTGCGGTGCCCAAATTACATCAACAACTCAGTGTAAGACCCTTACCGACGCAGCACCACAGTTTCTTTAGAAACATAGACCCTCCATTCTGAAACAAAGCCCTGGTCCTAAAGGTAATCTATTGTTTTGCCATTGTTGTCTTTTCTCTAATACTGTATGCATAATGAAGTATTTGGTGCTGTGCTGAAATCTTTCCAGGTATTCATCCAGATTTTAAGCTTGGCCATATTCACATCGATGTTCTAGAACCTAATTTCGTTCGCTCCATCCAAAAAAGTACATAAAATGGTGCATAATTGGGGTCTATTTATTTTCATTTATCTAGGCAGTGTCACCAGTTGTATTACTTTTTAGCCATATTTGCATTTATAATTAAACGATCGGTAGTCAGCAGATCGTCTAGTTAGTTATCACAAGAGCGTTACGACTTAAAGGAAACAAATTTTTGTTCAATCTAGAGTGTTCTCTATTTCAGAGAACAAAATGGTATTATCCACAGGGGATAAGAGATGGTTTTTCTCATGTGATTTGCTTATAACAAATCTCTGTATTTCTTTTGCGTCAAATTATTACGTTTTGGCAACCTGAAACACAAAGAATCACTTTACCTTTTTCTTATAAGATTTTGTTTGTTTGTTTCGTGGTGTATCTGTATTTGATTGGTCGTTGTTGTTGTTGTCGCTGCTCTTGTTTTTCCAGGTGCACAGGCCCTTAAGTGGCACTGTATTAAGTTGTCAGTTTTCAAAGTTCTGAATTTCTTTCCTCTTAATTACTGTAATTTTCATCTCTATGAAGCAGTCACCTCTACTAACTGGTCATGGTCACCCTTAACTGAGTCACAATAACCTTTTTGTATTGCCTTCCACCTGTCACTTAAAGCAGGACCACTCAATTGAAACCAAGATCATGATTTTTCAAGTAAAATTTCATCCATATTTATTTCCCAAAATCAATGGTAGTAGTATTTTTTAGCAAGCTTTTGTATATTAATTGGTCAATTTTGGTATAAATTGGTGTTTTTATCATATTTCTAAAGTGACCTGTTCTGTGGAACCTGCATAACTTAAGGCAGTCAACCTGTTTTAGGTGGTCGCCCCACCATTCCGTGTGGGTGACCAATTGATTCAGGTTGCACCATATATGTTGATATGCTGCCGGTCCAAGTGTCTTTCATGGATATTAAAATAGTTGTCCTGTCTCAGACTGAATTTGTCAACAATTCCTAAAGTTAACATCATGTACTTTTCAGCTTCTTTTGGCCAGTCAGAACACTTCCACAAGAGAATCATAACACTTGATGACTGTGGTATCAACTGGGCAGGTCCAGTTGGAGAGATTGCATCCATGTGTCCAAATGTAGAAGAACTTGATCTGGCCAAGAATAATCTTTCTGACTTTCATGAGGTGAGATAGAAGCATTCTGTTTGTTTCATGTAATGGTCACATTTATTATATAGATATCAATGAAATACTAAAATTTCTCCTGTCTCTAAATCAAAATATCTTTACCACATACAGTGAAACCATATTTGATATTGTCTTTGATGATAGCCACTTTTACTCTCACTAAAGGGTCTTTTTAACTTAAATAGTACTTAGCTTTTGGTTCTGAGGCAATTTTTTCTTGACAAGATTTTTTATTTTCATATCTCACTCGAAAACTGTACAAGCTGAGTTTATGTGCATGTGATTTCTGCACAATTTTCTCTTAAAATGTGTGTTAAATTTGTCATGATTTTGATCTATATGGTAAAAAGAACAATACATGTTCACTTCTGGATACAAATTTATCTTCTAGTATTAATGAGATCTCATTCTCTTTGCCCGTAGGTTGTCCTGCGGTGTTTGTTTAGTTTTATGCGCGCGCTCATACGAGTGACTGTTTTCTCTCAATTCTGTATCTTCCATCTTGTTTTGCCGTTGGAGATGACAAAACGCGGAGCCCTACTCCATGGAGTACCCTATGGAGTACCTTAATGGAGTACCCCTAAAAATCATGTTTTGGTCAAATAGAATATTTTATGAACTTGGTGAATCGTTTAGATGTACATATCCTAAAATATATTGAGCTTACCAGCTCTGTGAATGTCACAGTTCGATGCAATCCAGTTTTTTGGGGGACAGTTGACTAGGGCTCTCATGAGTCTTACTGGTTCCTCCATTTTGGTTTAACCGCTGTGTAATGAGTGCTTTGACGAGAAGACAAACAAATCCATGTCATGAACAGAACCCACTGTTTCGATTTGTGCACGAGGTAAAATATTAAGCTTACTGTATTTCCCAGATCAACAACCTCAGTCGGACTTATTTGCCGACCCGTCGCAGTTTTTTTTTTTTTTGGTTTGTTTACATACCTCAATTTTATTGCGCTACAAATAGATGAGTGAGGAGAAGCTCAGTTTAAAGATATGGATTGCCTTTTTAAGTCTCAACCTACAAATTTAAGCTTGTATCCTCATCGTTTCGCACATTTAAGAAACCCACGAGGCCATGTGTTACTAGATGGAGCGCCACAATTCTTACAGACACCACACATAAACAGGTATTTTGGAAGACGTAAAACCCAATGCAGAATGAAGGTTGTCCCTCCTTTCGGCCTCTTGAAGATCATATGAAAATAGATGGCAGTCGGCCTATTAACGATAACGTTGATGAATGCTAGCAACATTAAAGCTTTCCGTTGGAAGATTAATGTTAATTTCAAGATGGCGGTCAATTTGTGAACTACATCGAACTGCGACAATCGGAGAGCTGAAAAGCTCAATATATATATGGATTTGTACTTCTAAACGATTCAATGTTCATAAAGTATTTTATTTGACCACTACATGACTTTTAGGGGTACTCCATACAGGTACTCCATAGGGTATTCCATGGAGTAGGACTCCGCGTTTTGTCATCTCCCTTTTGCCGTGTATGAATAAAGCGTATTCGTTGTGTAGTTCGCGTTACTTACTGGCGCTTTGCTTACTCATGAGAGATGTTATCAGCACTAAAGATGTAATTTGTATCCACGTGTGGCCATGTGATATCCTCGATATACCACACATGTAACAGACCATAATTTGATTTTATGAGTTCTACATGAATGCTTTGTGAAAGGGTGTAGTTAACAGGATGGATTCCAGTTTTCAAATTTTGTGAGTTGTTTTTTTTTTCACTTTTTAACTATGTGGTTACATTTTTTTGGAGTGTATCCCATCCAGGAGTAGTAAAATTGCTCCTGGTTATTTTTAATGCAAGTCCTTACAATAATGGACCACTAGCCCTTCATGTTTGAAAGTAATTATTATAATTAATATTGTTTTTCTTTTATGTGTTAATTAGGTTTTTCGAATAATCAGTCAGCTCCAAAAGCTGGAGTTTCTAAACCTGAGTGAAAACTACTTGCCACAAAAGATTGAAGATTTTACTCCATTACTGGGGGAAAATCCAAAGGAGTCACTTCCTTCTGTAAAAAAATTGATCCTAAACAACACTGCTGTGCCACTGGAAACGGTGAACTCCCTTCTGAATTGTCTCACGGGGTAGGTTTTGTATCAGACAGATGGCCGTGCAAAGGGTCAAAGTGTGCTCCAGGCATTTCGTTAGTTTCGAGGAGCTTACAAACAAACCGAAAAATAACAAAGAAAAGCAGTTATGTTAAGAGAAATGAGGGTAGTTAGATGCCCCCTGTTGCTCCTTGCCTTGTTTTAAGTTGCTCGATCTGCTGATTGTGTTGCTAGTTTATTTGTGAACAGAAGCAATTGGCAAGACAGGTAAAGAGAACTACTCTCAACTGTAAACCCAGAGATGGACAAAGCACTGACCCCCAGTCCACCAACTACCCAAATGGACTGCCCCACCAAAAGCATGTTCTGAATGAGCTGTGAAAATGCTATTTTAAGTTCCGAAAATCAGTGATTTGATTTCGGCTTTTCGCTTTTTGCAGTTTTCATGTACGTAGTTATATAATTTTTCACAATGGCGGCTAGATGCTGACTGCCGACATGAAGAGAGAAGACGTGTTCAGTATTTAATTTATCACTATTAGTTCTCTCAATAGCGTTCATACGGAGTATAATTATTTTTAGGGGTAACCCATTTGGTAGTCTCCTCTCGCAGCCGTTCTTTGTCTCGGGATCGCTGTGGGGAGGGAGACACAGGGATCCCGAGACAAAGAACGGCTGCGAGAGGAGACCACCCATTTGGGTGGTCTAGAGCTTTATATGGATTGTGGGTTAGTGTTTTGTCTATCACCTTGAACCCGACCCTTACCTCTCCCCAGTCTCCCAGTCTAGCTATCCTAATAGCCATTCACGGTTTTGCGCTGAAACTAATTTGCTTGTGCAGAAAACCTTTTCTTTAAAAATTACTTGAAAGAACTAACCGCTCTATTGGCATGGACCATAGGAAGAGTTGCTGGGAAAGGGGTGGGTGGGGGTATGCAAGAACCAAAAGGTGTGTGGAAGGTTTAATTGCATGACAAAACTTAAGACAAAATTGTAATGCAAGCTTTGGAGCTATTGCTCAAGAATAAAATAAAAGTGTGCAATGCATATGCGTTGTTGACCAAGTAAGAGGTCAAGACAGCAGTATTCAGTGACCGAGTTCTTTTTTCTATTTTGCGTTTTAGGGACCGAGACGAAGTCAAGGTCCATAAAAACGCGAGAAAGAACGAGACTAATATCCAGCCATCTTGATCGAACAAGCTTGGTTAATAAAAGAAAATATTACGGATTATTAAGAATCAAGAATTACTTGTTTATTTCGAAAGCCTGGAAAGAAAGCCAACTGTGTTTGTAGCACACTGAAAAAATCCACGAGAGTTGTTTATGATTTCTTTGTTTTGACTGTCTTCCGCCGCTTTTTGCGACTCCGACGCCGACACTATCCCAAAACTACGAACTTTGTAGGTCCGTTCCACGCAGTTTTTTCTAGCGCGGGATCTAAGCGGTCAATCCCAGCGGGCAAGATGGTCCTAATGAACTTTCCCTCTTGGGTAGCCAATTAAAACACAGGATTCGATTCTTATTGCCCACAGACGTTGCCAACGATGTAATAAATTTCTTTCATAAAAAAATGGATGAAGAAATCTCATGCAACTTAAGAATTTCTAACCGTTCTTTAAAGTATTCACAATGGTCTGTCCCTGGTAGCCTTTAGGGTTGACATTAATTCTAACTGTCATCTAGTAACACGAGACATATTTACACGAACATTCCATTGACTTGGGTTTTGCTTACTTCGTTTCCATGTTGATATTAGAGTCCAAGACCTGTACCTTAGCCTTAATGGCTACGAGTGCATTCCAGATTGCGCAGAACAATATCCAAACATCAAGAGTTTGTCAATCAACAAGCACGCCATCACACAGTGGGACGAGATTGGAAAAATCGGATTTGTGTTCCCAGGACTGGCGGAGTTACGAATGTCAGAGTGCCCTCTGGAAAACATAACCCCTACAGAGGCTCCTCGACAGTTTCCAAATCTGAAGGCGCTAAACTTGAACAACACTCTGCTGGATACATGGGAGGCTATTGATGCGCTGAAATCCTTTCCCATGTTGACAGACGTTAGTGTGATGGGGATTCCGCTGCTGTGTCAATACACTGACCAACACAAACGACAGTTACTTATTGCAAGACTCCCCAACGTACAGAAGCTAAACAAAACCAAGATATCTGCAGAGGAAAGAGAAGATGCTGAAAGATTTTTCATTCGACATCATATGGATGATGAAAGTCCTCCTTTAAGGTATCTTGAACTTGTTGATACTCACGGAATGTTGGACCGATTGGCAGAGGTTAACATGCAAGCCAAACAAACTGCTACTATATCTTTGATATTTGATGATCAACCTGTCTGTAAGCAGGAGATTAATCTTATGCAGAGCACAACGAGCTTGAAAAAGTATGTCAGTGAGATCATCGGAATACCCCCTCCAGGCTTTAAGATACTTTACAAAGACGTCGGGTTTTGCTTTGGCCTTGAAGAAATGAAATATGGACCAAAAAAACTGTACAGGTACAAGATTAAAGACGGAGATGAAATCCATGTATGGAGCCGTTGATGAGGAAAGATGGATTCCAAGGAAACTTTAGTTACCTTTTTGTATATTTAGGCTATTAAGAACTCTAAGTGGTCTTACGGAGTGTAGCCAGTGTATCATTACCTCAGATAGGTTTCAGGTGTGGTGGGGAGGCTCTTGCAGTTGCAGAGGGATGTCTGAGTGTCAAACCTGGTTCAAACGTGCGAGGCAAATGAAAACGTAAGTGCAAATGCAGATGCAAATAATGTTCAAAAGTCAAACGCAAACGCAAAGGGCTTATGCGACTTCACTGAGGAAGGTTAGATTCGCAGGGGGAATAATTTAAAAAAATAGTGGTCGATCGAGGCTTTTCATCCCGGCTGTCGTTTTGAGTGTAAAAGCTGCCTTTTTTAATCCTGCCGTGACTATTTTTACTGGTTAATGCAGTAGAGAGTGAAAGGGTAGTGTGCAGTGTTGAATTAGGAACATTTTTGTTTGAAATGTTGTGTTTGATCTGCATCGAGAAGTTTTCCTTTATGAGCTCGCGATTCTTCTATGGTTCTATCAATCCTTTTAAGACCTTTTCAAGTTTTTCGGCTTTGAAATTGGCTCAACTTGTGCGTCGCATGTGTGAACATGCATATTGTATTGCCCACATGTAGGTACTACTTTTTATTGGACTCACTCGGCTTTTGCTAATTTTATACAGATAATTCTCAGTATATATCTACAATTGTAAAATACCGTACTAAATACATTTCAGTCGTCGTTGCTTCTCTGTCTCACTTAATTCGTTGGTTTTAAAACTTACTCCTTACAGAAAGCTTTTATGAGATGTTGAAGACCCTCGACGCTATTGGTGATCGGGCACCGCATAAGAAATCAACCCTTGAATCGTAGCAAAAATCGCTTACCTGTGTAAGTATTCAGGAAAAAATTGCAATGATCTTAATCAGAGGTCATTTCTAAATTAATCGCAAGTCAATCGAAAATTGGACAAGAAAGTGGAAGAAATGATGTTCGATCTGTATTTTAAAGCTGGCTTCACTCTGCCATTCGCTCTCTAAATTTCTAACCTTCAAGTGTATTCCCATGCTTCTAGACTTATAGACTTTATTAAAAGTGCGAAGCTGCTAGTTTGGGTATCAAAAGGCCTTTTGTGGACTGAAAGTAGCTGACAAATTTCAATAACGCACTGAAATCTGAAATTTGTCCAGGTTGGGCATCTTTAGGGGGAGTTTAAGGTTCACGGTGCTTAGAATAGCATCTTATGTCATGTTGAGCGGTTCATAATCCATTTTTGAATCCTTGAGAAGTTTGTAGAGCATTCCGTCAAGAGCTGCTCGTATCAAGAAATGACGTAGCTTTTCAGTATTATTTTAAGCAAAAAACCACTCTCTGTAATTTTACTGGCGTGATAACCCACGCCGGATGCTTGGAGAACACGAGAAAAATTTGTAAATTAAGTAATTTGGATATATCAACAAAGTTGAAGTGGTAAATTGGCCACCGTAACGATTACAAAAGCTGACGCTTCGAGCGTTAGCCCTTCGTCGGAGCGAATAGA